CAAACCCCTTGATGTTTCAGTAGCAATATGAGGTACTCACCGTAACCAAAATTGACAAAGATAGAATAAGTAGAGGATAGGTTATGAGGACTGGGGGAGGGAAAGGGGAAGTTACTGTTTAATGGGTAAAGAGCTTCTGTTTAAGATGGCGAAAAAGTTCTGGAAATGAATAGTGGTGAAGGTTATACAACAATGGGAATGAACTGAATGCCACTGTACCCATAAAAATGGCTAAAATGGAACATTTTCAATTATGCATAATTTACAATTAAGACATTTTAAAAATTACAGTATTACATGATTACTATATATGAACTATACCTCATAAAGTTTATTGGCAAGGACAAAAGGATATACAATTTGATAAATACTCAATGTTGGAAGTTCTAACAAAAGGCATTTTAAACACATTGACTGGGATTATATATTGCTACAATTTTTTAAAGAGTATTTCAGCAATTTTTCAGAAGTCACAAAGATATTTACTGCCTTCTACCCATTTGTTCTAATTTGTTCTAATTCTAATCTTCCCTAAAGGGAAAAACAAAAAGCAGGCACAAAGATTTAATCTCAAAAATGTTCATCAAAATGTTGTTTACAACATTATAATACTATCCAAAATTAGTAAACAAAATGATCAGATATTCACAACATATAAAAAGTTTACCTTAATTATTATGTATTTTATTTTTAAATTTTAATAACATTTAAAATACATAATATATATGTTATGGGGGAAACAAACATAAAATTATATCATGTGATTCTAATTTTTTTATATGCAAAACAAAACTAAGGAATAAATATACCTACTTCAATAATAATTATCTCCCAGACTAAGTTAAGGACCCTTTATCATATGTTATCAAGGTAATATCACCTGAGATCAGAGAAAACCTCACTACAAGTGGCTTTGAATGGAGAAAGAGAATAAAAGAAGATTCCTACCAGAGAACTTGTCTACCTCAGTATCATTTTATTCAAATTAAAACTGTTTTACAATCAAACTTCAATTTTTAAAAGCGGAGGAAAAACAGTGAATTTTAGTATCCAAGGGGATACTAGAACCAATCTCCGGGCTGATACAGAGGGATGACTGTAGTTGGAAATGATTTGGAATGTCTGTCTGAAAATGTCAGCAGGGGGCACCCCATTCAAGGATACAACACGTTTTAAATAAAAGTGTTTAAATAAATATTTCATTGATTCATTTTTAATGAGCATACCATAAGCCTTCTCAAAGTACTAAGTGCTCAAAGTATTAAATCCTACTTTCTATTACCATATTTTCTTTTGGAGAATAACATTAGAAGATATATAATAAGAATTACCCTTATTATTAAGCATTTTCTAAACTCCTGTTGTTTCACCCATATTTCACCAGCATAGAAGAATAATTATTATGCCACTGCCACAATTCACAAAATCCCTTCACCCCCATTTCTCATGTGCCTGTCTTAACAATCATGAGATAAGCAAGCTGCATGGTAAGAATTACAGCCCCAACCCCACTGTAAATGAAACACTCACTGAGAATCAGGCACCACACAAGGGATCTCATAGATTTACCTCATTCAAAGTTGAATAATTACCAAAAATCTATGAAGTTGTTATCTCATCCCAATTTTACAGATGAGGAAACTGAGGCTCAGCAATTAAAGTAACTGGCCCAGAAAGCAGATTTTGATCCAGACCCAGGTCTGTCTGAATCCTAAACCTATGCCATTTCCTTGTCCCACCCACACTCCCCAGGAAACAGAGATTGAGAAAAAGACAATCATTCGGCCAAGCCTTATAGGCAACCAGAACCCAGAGCCTTCTAACACTTGATCTGCGGTGCTTTCCACCTGGTATGTTGCTTCTATAAAAAGCAAGGACACTTCCTTCCATCGGGAGTTTATAAATCATCATCTCATTCGATTATAAATAACATCATAGGGAAGCTATGTGCTACATGAGGGACAGATAAGGGTGGCCAAGGGAAACTCTGAGGAAGTATAACTAAATTAATACACAGGGATCAGGGTTTAAGTATCTTATAACCAATATTCAAAACAGTAACAGCCTGGCCCAGTGGCTCACTGCTGTAATCCTAACACTCTGGGAGTCAGAGATGGGAGAATCACTTGAGCCCTGGAGTTCGAAACCGGCCTGGACAACAGAGTGAGAGACCTCATCTCTACAAAAATAAAAAAAAGTACCAGTTAATAAAGTTTCCAGGAGTAGCTTAGATAATCCCAGAATTGTATGTATAATATTAGGAGAAGGGCTATTTTTAAATATTCTAAAATTTATCATTGGAATGCCCATAAAAATTGCCTATGAGTCGAGTCATGATTACATCAGAAAAATTTACAGTAGTTATTCAGGACTCTGCTTTTGATAATAAGTATGTATGCTGTAACTACCTAATAAAATCATGAAAATAATTTTTAAAATATAAATGTTACGTACATATCCCAGTTTGGAGCTATCGGCAAATGCCGGATTAGCAATTGGAATTAGAATAAAAATTTTAAATGTAAAAAAAGAAAAAATTAAAATATTTAAGTCACGAAACACAGAAAGTGACAGCAAAGTTAACAGCTCAGATCTTTATGAAAAGGAAATTTACACTGTATACCAAAAATAATATTTACTAAATTACAAAGGCACTTGTATATGAGTAAGATTAAAATAAAAACTAAGAACAGTACTTTTAGTTTCTCCTACCACTTTATATTCTCTAAATGACTGCCCTTACCTGATACACACACCAACTAACAAAAAAAGTCACCTTAATACTATCCTGGAAGCAAATGAACTAAAATTTTTTCAAGCCAATTCCTAAATGAGGGCCCACTACAAAAAACACCTCCAAACCACTGTAATTCCTTTCAGAGGATGACTTCAAACACTCTGCCAATCGATGCCAAACATGAGCCAAAAAAAAAGAAAAAATAATAAACTCTGACAAATTCTCATGAGTTTACCAATGGACCAAGATAGTCCAAAAAGTAATATTCCCAGAGGATAGGAAAAATGTCTTAGAGGGTTGATGTCTTCCGTCAATGTCACATCAGAAACTTTACAGTTTACCAGATGACCCAGTAAAGGAACCGACACCCCCAACCCATTCCACACGGGCAGTTCATTCCCCTTCCCCGCCTGGACTCACGACCACGCCTGAGCCGCCCTGCCCTGCGCTGTCGCGGTCCCTGGAGCAGGCCGGTGACCGAGGGCGACCGCGGTCCCGAGAGGGCTCCGGCCCAGCAGGCTCCCACCTCGGGCGCTGCGACGGTGCTTGGATCTGCAGAGACGCGCTCTCCGCCTCCTCCCACCCAAGCCGCGTGCAGTCCCAGGCCGGGCCAGGCCAGTGGCGGGAGACAGGGGCGGGGAACCGGGACCCCCGGGGACAGGTGTCCCCTCGTCCGGCCCGGGAGGCCGCTGCTGGGCGCCTCACCAGGATGTTGCGGTGGAGCGTGGGCGGCAGCGGCTCCTGGTTCTCCTGGAAGACAGACGCTCAGTGTGGCCTCGAACCCGGACAGGGACATCTTCCCCTCATCTCTGGCGGGAGGGGCCTGTCCAGAGCCGCTGTTATGGTCGCCGCCACCAGGCCGGGCAGCCCGGCGGAGCTCTCCCGGCTCTGCCTCTCCCGCCCCGCGACCCTCCGGTGAGCACGGCTGGAAAACGGCAGGGGCACCGCGGACTTGGCGGGAGCCCTGCGGCGGCCTGTGGGGGGCTGTGCCCTGGGTTCCCTCTGCTCCTCCCCGACTCCACCGACAGAAGGCGGGTTCCTGTCAAGCCGCGGCTCAAAGGGCAACAGCACCGCCGCCCCCGCTACCGCCTGGGAAAGGCCGCCCCTGCCCCGCCCCGCTTCTGTCCCCCTCGCCCCTCGCCCCTCAACCCCGCGCCCTGCGCGCCCTCCCGGTGTGCTCGCCCCCGGCTGCCCCCACTCCCTTGACCCAGCACCTTCCTACCTGACCCATCTGGTCCCTTCCTCACACTCGCCCACTGGGCGGCACAACCACCAACTCTGTGTGTGTGTGTGTGTGTGTGTGTGTGTGTGTGTGTGTGTGTGTGTTCGGCACAGCCACCAACTCTGTGTGTGTGTGTGTCTGGCACAGCCACCAACTCGTGTGTGTGTGTGTGTGTGTGTGTGTGTGTGTGTTCGGCACAACCACCAACTCTGTATACGTGTGTGTGTGTCTGGCACAGCCACCAACTCTGTGTGTGTGTGTGTGTGTTCAGCACAACCACCAACTCTGTGTATGTGTGTGTGTCTGGCACAGCCACCAACTCTGTGTGTGTGTGTGTGTGTGTTCGGCACAACCACCAACTCTGCCACCAACTCTGTATGTGTGTATCCAGCACAACCACCAACTGTGTGTGTGTGTGTTTGTGTATCCCAAGGGTGGGGGTGGTTCACGCCTGTAATCCAAGCACTTTGGGAGGCCAAGGTGGGCGGATCACGGAGGTCAGGAGATAAGACCATCCTGGCTAACATGGTGAAGCCCTGTCTGAACTGAAAATAACAGAAAATTAGCCGGGCATGGTGGTGGGTGCCTGTAGTCTGAGCTACTCCTGAGGCTGAGGCAGGAGAATGGCCTGAACCTAGGCGGCGGAGCTTGCAGTGAGTGGAGATTGCCTCCAGACTGAGCCACAGAGCAAGACTAGGTCTCAAAAAAATAAAATAAAAATAAAATCAAAACTCAAAGGATCACTAGTGGCTATTATCAGCAACTATGTGTAAAGAAATATGAAAACCTACTAAAAATGGACAAATTTCCAGACACATCCAGCCTACCAAGATTGAACCATGGATGAAATCCAAAACCTGAACAGACCAGTAACAAACAATGGGATCTAAGGGGTAATAAAAAATCTCCCAGTAAAGAAAAGCCTAGTGAACCTAATGATTCACTACTGAATTCTAGCAAACATTTAAAGAAGAACTAATACCAACCTTACCCAAATGATTCCAAAAATAGAGGAGGGAATACTTCCAAATTCTACAAGGCTAGCATTACCCTGATACCAAAACCAAAGATACATGCAAAAAAGAAAACTACAGGCCAATATCACTGATGACTATTGATGCAAAAATCCTCAACAAAATATTAGCTAATTGAATTCAACAACACGTTAAAGTCGGGGTGCAGTGTCCCAGGTTCACTCAACCCTTCCCGTTTTCCTCTCTGTGTGTCTACTTTGCCGTGTTCCCTGGTGGCAGCGGCGGTGGCAACGTTGGTGCGTGGGCCTCCCAGGACAAGGGGAAAGTGAGTGTGCCCTCTTTTCGCCTCCTGCCAGGCATCTGCAGCCTGGCACAAGCTCTGCCGGGGTCTTCAAGCCAGGGACCTGGAGATGTTATTTTCCGATTTCTGGATTGGCAACTTGAGGCAAATTCTGGGTACTAGAGTCAGAACTAAGACGAGACTGAATCAGGGGAGTCTGGGGTCCTGAGAGGCAGAGACTTGAAACCATCTAGAGTGTGTGGGAAGCTGGGTGTGTGTTCAGGCCAGTTGCTTCTCTCTGTGCCTCAATGTTCCAGGTACCCTTGGAGGGTCTGGGCGCCTAGGGATTCCTGGAGCCTGGCTGCATGACCTGGCCACCCTGATGCCCTTGTGTTCTCCATGACAGGACAGCAAAGCTGAGGAGAATGGCTCCGACAGCTTCATGCACTCCATGGACCCACAGCTGGAGCTGCAAATGGAAACCACCCAGAACCTGGTGGACTCCTACATGGCCGTTGTCAACAAGACCGTGTGGGAACTCATGGTTGGTGTCAAGCCCAAGACCATCATGCATGTCATGGTCAACAACGTGCATACACTGTCTCTTGGGGCAGGGGGCTCCTGTGGCACTGGGGATGCAGGTGGCCATGTTGGCCTGGGGGAGATGCTGACCAGCCCTATGGGACCAGGTCCGGGGAGGCAGGCACGGTCCAGACCAGAGCTGTCTCATAGAAATATAGTGTGGGACTGAGGACAGTGGCCCATGCTTGTAATCCCAGCACTTTGGGAGGCCAAGGCGGGAGGATAGCTTGAGCCCAGGAGTTCGAGACCAGCCTGGGCAACATAGTGAGACCTGGTCTCTACACAAAAATTTTTAAAAATAGCTGGGCTTGGTGGTGGCACGTGCCTATAGTCCTACCTACTCGACAGGCTGACATTGGAGGATCACTCTGAGCCCAAGAGGCTGAGGCTGCAGTGAGCGGTGATCTCGCCCACTGCACTCCAGCCTAGCGACACAGAGAGACCCCATCTCCAAAAAACATTTTTAAAAAACTGAGTGGATAGGATTCCTGGTGGCGTGATAGGTCTTGGGTCCCCTGCCAGATCTGTGACCTTGGACAGGTGACTTTTCCTCTGGACCTCAGTGTCCCTATCTGAGTGAGAAAAGGGCGGTGGGGAGGCAGATCTTTGAGTCTAAATGGTGTAGAAGCCGCGTCTGAAAAGCCACACTCAGGGCTCCAAGTCCAGCACACAGTCCCAGCAGGGCCCGGCAGGAGGCCAGGGCAGCGCAGGCATCAGGTCCCAACCTCCTTCCCTCTTTGCCCACTCTCAGACCAAGGAGTTCATCTTCTCAGAGATGCTCTCCAACCTGTGGGGACCAGAACACGCTGATGGAGGAGTCGGCAGAGCAGGCACAGCGGCACGAGGAGATGCTGCGTATGCACCACGTGCTGAAGGAGGCGCTCAGCATCATCCACGACATCAACACAATCACCGTCAGCACGCCCACGGGGGCCCGTGGACAACTCCTGGCTGCAGGTGCAGAGAGTCCTTGCCACACGCAGGTACCAGGTCTGGCCCTCACGGCCCCAAAGCCCCCCAGTCCCCATGGCTGAGCCTAGGGCTCTTGGAACGGGCTCCATGCCCAAGCTGGCAGACGTGGGTGCTCCCTGGAGCCATCAGAGAGCTCATGGTTTATGGTGTAAGCGCTGACAGCTGGGAGGGGGTTGTGCGTGGGGCTGCACTCTGAGGTGGCCAGAGGCCTAGAAATGTCATCCTGGGCACGCTGTACCTGTTGTGCAGTCTGAGTCATGCTGCCAGGGCAGGGCATCCAGCTCCCAGCCTGGGAGTGTGAGAGCCAAATCCACTGCAGAGGAGGGGTGAGAGTCAGGGTCCCACCTCCTCTATCTGTCGGCAACCCAGTGGTGATCCAGGATAAAACCTCAAGAGTCCCAAACACATGGTCAACCCACAACACACCTCACAGCCCAGGCAGTGACACACAGCCCCTTCCCTCCCTCCCAGGTCCCATCATAGCTGCCAGCATGTGACTGAAGGCAGGGTCCCTGGTCCCCGCTGAAGCACTATCACCGGCCAGCAGGCTCACACACCTTGGCCTGTTGCTTCTAGAGGTCGCCTCTGCTATTCAGACAAGGGGACCACAGTGCCTGCTGGCCTGACTGAGCTCCTCCCAGCAAGCCCACCCACCTCCCCCGCCACGGACTCTCCCTCTTCTACTTTTCCCAGCAGGAAGGACCCAGCCTCACCTATGCAACCTGCAACTCCCAACAAGCTGAGGCTCCTCTCTTAGACTTATAAGTCTATAGCCAGTGGCATCTGGCTGCCTGCCCTCCCTGCCTCCCCCAGGGTCCCTTCAGAGGGTCCTGGGCTTTCTGACCACCCAGAGGGGGCTCCAGCGATCACTCCAGCCATCCATCCTTTTTAGCTTCATCATCCTGGTTCAAGCAGTGTTCCTTCTCTATCAGGTCTGGTGGCTGTTGCGCTGGGCTCCCCAAGGCGAGAGGTGACCCCGGACCAGTGGGTTGGAAAACAGGGTGACCAGAGAAGAGGGAAGCCAGAGGGGGTGAGCATTGGTCTGAACAGTGGATGCACTGCCTGGGTGCCGTGGACGAGGCCAGCGTGTGTGGGGTGGGGAGGGTGGCCACAGCCCCCAGGCACTACCTGTGAAGCTCCAGCTCCTCCCTCCATCTTCCTCCCCTTTCCCTTCCAGCCCCGCTTTTCCAGGAAGCTTGCCACACCCTCACCTGCGCCCTCCCCTCCCCCGCCCTCCCACGGCTGCTGTGGCACACCTGTGCTCTGCACTTGCCTCACCAGCTCTCTGCTCGCTTTTCTCTCTCCTGTTTTCTCTCTGCTTTCTCTCCAACTGCCAGCCCATCAGGTCAGACAAGTCCATCCTGGCCCCGCTTTGACCTCTAAACAGATCCATCCTCTTCTCGGAGACCTCCCTTTCCAGGCCTGCCTGGGCGGCTGTTCTGTGATTCGACAGTGGCTCCCACAGCCCCAAAGCCAGCCCCCTTCATCTGTGACTTGGTCTGTTGTAGTGGTGAGCTGACACTTCCAGGTGTGACTGTGGCTGAAAACGTGTGCCCCCCTCTGTGGTATGCCCCTGCCCTGTTCTATAAATATCTATAAATACATGTATGTACATATATACACATACATATATACACATACATATACACACATACATATACACACATATATATACACACACATATACACACACATATATACACACACATATACACACATACATATACACACATACATATACACACATACATATATACACACACATATATACACATACATATATACACACACATATATACACACATATATATACACATACATATACACACATACATATATACACATATATACACATACATATATACACACACATATATACACACACATATATACACATACATATACACACACACACACACACTCTCCTACATGTGGCCGACTGCCTCACCTCTAGCTGGGAATCAGTCACCGTGCTGTCCTTCTGGAGTCCTGTGTCCCAACAAGAGAAAGCTGTCCCCTGACATCGCCCCTCCAAAGTGCAGCACCTCCAGTGAGCCTCCCTGTCCTGCACGGACAGCCCCCGCCATCCTTCCCGCCCCCACCAAGCATGGGAGTGCTGTGCAGGCAGCTGTGTGGCCTGACAGTCTCTACCAGTCCTGCTGTCCCTCGGCTGAGAATCAAACCCATTTCTGGATGGCGGGGAAATGTGTCCTCTGCTGGCTGTGTTCTCTGTGGAGCTCAGGGGAGGGGAAAGGCCAAGCCATTTCTAGGGTGCTGTTGGGAGCGGTGAAAAGGCCATACCCTTTCCAAGGTTCACTTTTCCTGGAAAGCCCCTGGAGCTTCCCTGGCTCTTATCCTGTGAAGCCGGCTCTGGCCACCAGGGGGCAGGGCCATGAACTCAGCCTGAAGGGAGCCTGTGGGGCAGCTGGCACTCTGGAGGGACAGACAGAAGAGGCCACCAGGTGCAGACAGGAGAGGGAGGCAAGGGGACTGAATGGAAGACGCCTGGGCTGGGTGGAAGTCAGTGCCCTTAGGTGCTGGTACCTGTCTTCCCGGCCACCGCTAGACCAGGCTTCTGAGCCTGTTGGCTGTCAGGACCGGACTACGCCCCGTAGGCACCATGGCAGTCCCCGTGGAATCCCCCAGGTGCCACCAGGCAGCATACAGGTAACAGGCCTGGAAGGTCCCCAACGGCCTAGCTGGACATGCTCAAGACACTCTGGGGCTCCTCGTTTGGTGGCACAAACTCCAGGTCCCAGTGAGGGAAACGGGAGCACACCAGGCCGAGGAGTATGGCTAAATCCGTTTATTCCAAAATAAAAAGCAAAATAAACAGGAGTTGCATCACCAGGGAGCCACGACCCCATCCCTGCCTCCTTCCTCTGTCCTGTGCTAGCAATAAATAAGTTTCCCAGCCACAAATAATTATTAGAACCTCCTGCCCATGTGCCAGCTCCAACCACCGCTAGGTCCGATACAGGGATGGCCCTACCCTCTGGGATCTACAAAATGTTACACAGACACGGTATGTACACCAGTATCACGATTAGTCAAACCCTTTGTCCAATCACATTTCTACACAACTGTCCATTCTTCATCAAACCTAGTCATAAAACAGACAGTTTTCTCTGGATCTTTGGGTCTTCATGTCATGAAGACCCCTGTGTCACATAAATCTTTGATTAAACAAACTTGCTGTGCTTTTCTCTTGTTATAGGAGTGTCAACTGTGATCCTTATGATGAGGAAAACTGCCATAACTTTCCATGCTTACAAGATTCTCATATTTCGAAACATTCTTCAATTTCTAGCATAAACATAAATTTTAATGAAATTAAAGAACGTATCTTTGTCTAGTTGAAAATAATCTAAATGCCCTTTTTGGCTGAAAAGGAAAAGGCCCAACACACAGTGGCACATGGAATTCTAGATAAATCAGGGTTAGAGATGAAATAAATATACTTAGAACAGTTAGTTCCATAAGCGTTCTCAGTAGGATGCACTGCTTCTTATTGAATCAAAATTCCAAAGATCACCTCAAATCTTTGCATCTGTTAAGAATTGCACTTAACCACATATACAAAGTGTTCTTCTATTTTGATAATTAACACATTTCTTGGTAGCAGCTCAATAAGAAAAACAGTTTCTTCCTCTATTGTGCTGTGGACTTAATCTCAACAGGGTGCCTCTCCCTGCCCACCCTAATTAAGAAAACTGGCATAGAAAACTTTCTGCAGACGGACCAACAGCAATAGCTGCACAGATTTTCTTCATGAGCTTAATACTTCTATCAGCAGCCCACATCACTTGAAAATCAGTTGTGCTGTCTATACTCCATAGGCTTTCGGAGCATCCAAGCTCCCTGCCAGTGCTTCCTCTATGATTACTACTGAGATTCCTCTCAAGGTTCTCCAGAACAGTCTTCTTCTACATGTTGGCTTTTTTTGAAACTATTTTCTCTGTTTTTTTCCTAGCTCCCACACTGTATAACTCTTGCCAAGAGCTACTCCTGCCATCTTCATAGTCACACATCAGAATTGGAGAATGAGAGGCCACAAGACTGAAGAAGATAATGAGCAAAAGGAAGTAGCTTCTAGCTTAAAAAAATTCATCTGGTTCACCTTATTTTTCAGTCTTTATATATATTATATCATATCATTTTGGCAAGTTTAACCCACAGTAGTAGTCCTGGCTTAGTTACACCTAATTTATAATTGTCTGTTAGGAGAAATAGCAAGACAAAACCAAGTATCTCAATTTTATCCCAGCTGCTGCCATTTGGATAGCACATCTTTCTTTCTGTACTCATTTTGTTTGTGTAAAGAAATGACTAACGCATTCCCAGTCTGGTTCTCTTACTTCATTCTAGTGCTGGTCAAGGACGGAACTTGTTGTAGAAGTTCCATCTTAAAATAGTGTTTAGAATATAAATGCTTAAGATAAGCTATGCATTGCCTCTGTCCTACCTAGTTTTTACTTATAATCTCTAATATGAAGAGAGATTAAGGGAAACACACTTATATGAAGACTGTTGCTGTTCCCTATTTTCATAGCAACAACCCTTGGAAAATCTTGTAAGGCATTTGCATACAACGTCTGATGATACATTCTAATTTTCAGTTATCATGATAAAAAATCATGTAAAAATTTATAATAAGAAAATATAAGGTGATATCAGCCAGAGATATTATTTGCATAAAATATAACCTGTTTTAATTAGTAAATCAAAAGACATGTGACTCAGCTTTTGAAGTATCACAGTCTCCAGAGCCACGACACAAGGCTTGGAGGATGCACAGCCAGAAAGGACATCCAAACCACACAGTACAGTTGTTGCTTTGGTGCCTTGTTTAGAATTTCCTCCCAAGACTAAGATGTCAGAAGTCTTGGATGTTGAAGGCTCAAGGCTGAGTCTATCTCAAGAAATTGCCCTCAACCAAAAGAAGGTGCCTCATCTAAGATTCTGCCCTGTCTTTAGAACCAACCCACATCTGATGACTGGTAAAGATGGATACAAAGTCTGGCTCCTTTTCTGAATTTGGAAAAACAATGAATTGCTGTCCCAGCTCTTAAGTGTCCCATGGGATAGGCTGAATGCTCTGATGCAACTTGAGGAAAGCACAACTTCTCTTTCTGTCCAATCCTGTGTCCTTCACGCTTTTATAAACGGGTCTCTTGAAGTACTCCCAGGTAAACTCTAGTGGGTGTATCTGTATCTCAGAATCTGTTCATCAGGGAGTCCCACCAAAGGCATGGAAGGATTCTCTCAGCAGTGACCCCGCTCATGAAGCTATGGGAAGAGACACAATGTCTGGCAGCACTGAACAGAGCACTGGATTCCAGAAACTGCCACTGACACCAGAAAGCCACCCTCTCCACTAAAACATGCAATGCATGTCACCTGTATCTTCCCAGTGAAAGTCTCTACCAACATTGTAAACATTGCCTAGTCTACTCCTTGGGTGGGCCTTGGAAGCAGCCATGTATCACAGGTTGTCGGTATCTTTAAACACACTTTCTTTACTGTGGAGCTCATTACAATATGAATCCTTCTCCAAGATATAAATAAGAAACTTAGTTTTCTGATTTCTTTTGCTGTTAAGGGCGCAGACATACAATCTATGCAGCAGCCGTAGCATATACTCAAAAGATATTTTCTTTCAAAAGAAAATATAGCACAAGTTCCAAATGACATTCCAATTAATATTTGAAAAACATTCATTTGTAAAGGTGAGTTTCTTATATAGTTAAATTGTGTTCTGTTTAATGAGAACAAGAATTTTGATAAAATCTGATTATTATTTGTCTGAATTCCTGTATACAGCAAAATACTAAATAAGGAAACCTTAGCTGTCCTTTCTTTGGAGAGTTTTTCTTAATGGAATTATTGTAGAAATGAAACATTCATATGAGAACAAAGTGGAGACAACGAAATTCTGGTATGTAATTTTTTAAAATCTGGTTTTGTTTGTTAACATCATATAAGTTTAAAGTTACCCCGAGTTATAGAGTGGGACAGTGATAACCATAAACCAAGAGCCTCCAATTTTATTCCTGTAACACTGAAGTTATTTCTTTCAAGTCTTCCCTATCATGTCTCAGAGTGTGGTTTTCCTTATTCTTCCTCCTCTTATTTTTCCCCAGCTCAAGCAAATAAGTAGTTTTCTATTCTCTGTTGAAAATACTGAGTACCTAAAATACGACATATATTTTAATATTCATTTTTATATAATATTCAATCATCACAACTCTACTGTGATATATACAGTTTGTTCTCATTAAACAGTTGAGAAATACCCTCAGTGAAATGAAGTAAATAATCCAAGACCATACTGCTACATAATGTCAGAACTTGGGTATACAGATCTCCAAACTTGAATATAGATAGATAGCTCTATAGACATATATCTCCACTATGTGTGTGTGTGTGTGTGTGTGTGTATAAAACTGATTACAAAACTTTGCTCTTGGAATACACAGTTAGGAGGCAATTACTAATCTTATTTTTCTCCCCAATTTAGACAAGTTGCTTTAATTTTGATTGAGATCTCTGTGCTTTTGGATGTATGTGGCCTAACACATCTCAGGTAGGCAGCCTCCACAGCTCATCTATTCCCTCAGTAACTATGCTGCCGAAATCTTCA